GGAGAAAAACACACTTTAAGAATTACAATTGAGCTGAAATATTAGCAGTCCTCAAACGTTGAATCAACTGAGATAAAATATTCAAAATGTGAACCTGGATGTGACTATGTAGCATTGTTCTCCCTGGGAGGTAACAGGGGTCACGGATTGTGAGACAGCGCTTGTTATCTGCAAAGAAACAAAATAACATGTTATTCACCTTTTGTTTCACTTCCTTAGCCATCTATTAAAATCAAACAACAATCCAGCTTTAATTTTCCCCCAAGACTTAATTCAGTTTGAAAGTACAAAAACTAAAAGTAGAGATCGAGAATCACCAGAAATTAAATAGATCAGTTAAACAGTAAAGTATTTTTTAAACAGAAAATTACAGCATTGACAAAAGGATCATATGCATCTTCTGCAAGGTATGCCAAAGTTGTCCCAGAATCAACTATTGTTCCTTGGTTGCTTGATGTTGAAAAAACTGATGGATCAATGGCTAGCGTTTGGCCGTTAACACTAATGCTCTCCAGATTTAAGTTATAATGAGGCCTGAAATTCCGAGCATCCCAGTAGATATAGTTAAAGTTACAGCAGCCAAGCTTTATATGATTAAAAAATCTTATGCCTTACAAAATGAATAGGGAAAAGATAGCATAACATCCAACATTTCAAAATAGAATTGAGAGAGGGCCAAGCTTTTGCTGCAATTAAGAGCTACTTCACATGTTAAGATCTTCAAGTAGTTCCTCAGGGCTCTATTTATCTCTCTATGGAATTTTTTCCAAAATATAATTATTTTTCACCCTCCACTGAAATGTATTCAATTAAACGGTACTGTTCTGGCAACATGAGTAGTTAAGTCATAAATTTCAAACTAGAAAATAGCTATGGGTTACAACCTAAAAAAGAGATGTCTGCAATGATGCATGCGAATATAACTGTTAGTCATGCTGTAGAGCTCACTATAGTTCCATTTAGTTTCACAAAATATAAAATGATATACTTGTACTGCTTTACACATACTGATTTTGGACAAGCGGGCTATAAACGATGTTAGGATCCACGATCTCACCAAGAACCAGTATCCCCCCACCAGTGTCATCTCCTTTGAAGCAGTGAGAAAATACTTTTGGCGCTACTCCCTGTGAAGACAGCTGTGAGATG